TCTGTATTTCATAAATGTGAACAGAAAAGCAAAACCTTAACATGTGACTCCACAAAGAATAGCTTCTGGAAATATTTTGAAATATTGAAGCATGAAAGTGTCTTCTACTAGGAGTAGCTTATCTTTATCCTTAAATATACCCAGGTGTAACTTACCCGAGACTTGGAAAAGGGAATATCAGAAACATTAGGAGTACAGGGAAAGACAAACCAGTATATTCATTCTATTTACACCACGAAATAGGAAAAGCAAAGGTCCATCTTGCTATCCTTTTTTAACGGTTTGATTATAAAAAGGTGAAAGGAAAATAATTTCCTTTAGGATGAGACAACACCAAAAGGAATTAAGTCTACGCAATAGTTTTCTTTTGCTGCTTTTTGATTTGCTACAAAAGAATCACTTTTGTTAAAACTCAGTGACTTAACACAAGAATGTATAATCTTACAGTTCTATAGAACAGAAGTCTGATATGGGTCTCACTGGGCTAAAATCAGGCTGTAAATGGGATTGAATTTCTGGAGTCTCTAGAGGAGTGGCCACTCCTTTAGTTTTCCAGCTTCTAGAAGTTGCCCACATTTGTTGTAAATCATCTCCTTCCATCTCCAAAGCCAGCAACACTGGATCCCTCTGACTCCCTGCCTCTGCCTCCCTCTTGCGCTTTTAAGGACATTGTGATTACATTAAGTACACCTGGATAAGCTAGGCTACTCTCCCCATATCAGAGTCTTTTACCTTAATTACAGCTGCAAAGTTTCCTTTGCTATGTAAGATAACGTATTCATAGGATGTGGACAACATTAGAGTGTCACTATTCTGCCTACCATAGTCTTTGTAGTTAATATCAGAGAAAAATCAAACAGAATATTTTAACTATCTCTGGTAATACATTAAAATTACTACATGGCCGTAGGGAACCAGCCCCTACATCACCCATGGGTACCCTGAATTTGGTGGTGACAGAGGATTGAGACAAATATTAATAGAGAAAGTTGGACCAGAGAGCCATCACTTATTACTGGAAGAGACAGTGAAGGCCCCGAGCTCTGGTTTCTCACACTATTTACTGGTCACAATCACATTGATCTATAGGGTAGGGGTGAAGTGATGGTGGGATGAATCAGTGAGCTGGAAGTGAATCAGTGAGTGGGAACTGGTGTGTCATTCTAAAGATTGATAACAGTGGCAGTTTGGGAGTTTCCCCAAATAAGAACATGTGGTTATCTTTAGCATATTATCTATGTGCAGCTGGGGGAACTCAGGCCTTTCAAGGAGCCTACAAATCTGGCTATGAAGGGGTTTTACATCCTTGAGCACAATGTTCATGGTAACAGAGCCTAGGTCACCCTGCACTGGAACATTGAGGCATGGAGAGGCCTTCCTCCTCAGAGGCCTCCTGAAGTCTTCTGCAGTTTATTGTTCCTGATTTCTTTTATAGATGTAGCAAGTTTATGTAGGAACACTATAAGTCTTTTCTCTTTTGCTGCTTCCCCCAACACATGGCTAAGAAAAATTAAACGGTACTAAAATGTTTACCCTACACCTGATATCACTCTTTAGAATTTGCCACTTTTACAAATTCAGTTTTTAGTTATTCTGATGGTTAGTCCCATATCTTCAAATAAATCACATACACTGTTATTTCTTGACTTATCAACCCCAGATACTTTCTGATGATGTCTTGGTATGAATGATAAGGATTTACCTCACACGGCTCTTACCTGTCATCATTCCTCAAGTAGCTTCCTAAGGAAGGGTGTGTGGGAGGTCAATTTGTCAGTGCTTGCAGGTTGAAAAGTTCTGTATCATGCTCTCTTACTTGATTAATGGTTTGGCTGATGCCATGGTTTTAGTGTGTTCCCCAAAGTTCATGTGTTGAAAACTTAATTTCCAATCCAACAGTGTTGTGAGGTGGGACTTTTTAGAGGTGATTAGGTCACTAAGGCTTTGTTCTCATGAATGGATTAACACCATTATTGTGGGAGTGGTGTAGTTATCTTGGGAGTGAGTTCTTGATAAAAAGGATAAGTCTGGCTTCCTTAATTTCTTGCTCTCTTAGGTCTGCTCTCTTGCCCTTCTGACTTCTCCCACGAGATGATGCAGCAAGAAGGCCCTCATCAGATGGAGCTCATCTGTCTTGGCCTTTCCAGCCTCCAGAACTGTGAGTCCAATAAATTTTTCTTTGTTTTTTATTTTTATTTTTTTGAGATAGAGTCTCTCTCTGTTTCACAGGCTGGAATGCAGTGGCATGATCTCAGCTCACTGCAACCTCCACCTCCAGGGTTCAAGAAATTCTCCTGCCTCAACCTCCCGAGTAGCTGGGATTATGGGCAGACACCACCATGCTCAGATAATTTTTTGTATTTTTAGTAGAGACAGGCTTTCGCCATGTTGGCCAGGCTGGTCTTGAACTCCTGACTTCAGGGGATCCACCCACCTCTGCCTTTCAAAGTGCTTGAATTATAGGTGTGAGCCATTATGCCCGGACTAAACTTCCATTTTTTAAATAAATGATACAGTCTCAGGCATTCTGTTATAGCAGCAGAAGATGTGCTAAGACATCTGGGTAGACAATTTGTAAGTGAATAAAATGCTTTCCATAGAACCTTGAAGACACTGTTCTACTCTTTGGTGTTGCTAATAAAACAGACAAACAAACAAAAAAGAATGGAATGTTTCTGATTCTAATTCCTGGGTATGTAACCTGCTTTTTCCAGCTGTCTCTGGAACTTTTAGTCTTTAAGCCTTTGGAGTTCTCAAGTATCGTAGTAATGTGTCCTGGTGTGATTCTTTTAAAGTTCATCCTACTTTATAGCTGGTAGTCACCACCAGAATGAAGATATGCATCTCTTTTCACATCTGGAGAATTCTCTTATTTTAGTTCTTTGATAATTTCCTCTCTTCCCTTTAGCATTTCTAATAATTGGACTTTCTAAATTGATTATCAGTTTTTATCATCTTTTTTTTCACATTTTTTTCTCATTGTTTTTGTTGTTTTCCTTTGTTTTTACCCTTGGAAAATGCCTACATTTTATCTTTAGACTTCCAATTAATTTTTTGATTTTGGAAATTATTCAATTTCCAAAAGTTTAGTCTTCTGTTCTTTTTTTTTTTAATTCATAACTTCATGTTGATCTTTGTATACAATAATTTCTACTCAAGGACACTAATTAAAGTTGTTTATAAGATTCTCTTCTGCTTCCTGAATGCTATCTCCTTATGTAGGAGGAGTCCATTTTTCTATTTATCTTGGTCTTTTGATTTTATGCTGCAGCATTTACTCAGTTATATGGTGATCATTCATTGTCCATTTGTATCTAAGACTAAGAGAATTGTGAAGTTGATGGTGTGCTCTGCATGTGAAAGAGATTTGTGGACTGAAGGTTTTACAGTATAGTGAGGATTCTGGAGGTGAGCCAGCTATATTTTCTGTTGGCAAATATCAGGAGGAGGAAGGCTTTTCTTTCTGGCACCAGAGTGAAATGCCTGATTACAGGTTATCTTGCATGAGAATATAGGAGTCTGACTATTCCATATGCAGGTCCTCAAGTAATCCCCCCTGTTTTTAGCTCTACTATTTCCTTCCCTTAGTTCCACCTACAGACTCTGATCTGAAGCATTTCCAGATTTCTGTTGGGAAAGCTGTTTTCCATATCTACTATAGACCTTTTGTTTCTTATTCTTTGCTACAGCTTGAGCAGATGGCATTCTTTCTCAATTTCTAGGTTCTAGAAATTTTTTGAAGTAGCTGTTTTGGGATTGTCCTACTCGTGTTCCTTTAATTATTATGTTTTTATAATTTTCGATGATACTTTATTATAGTCTTATTCAGATCCACAGAGAAAGGGAAGCTGAATAAATAGACTCTGTCTGCCATTTTGAACTGAAATAGTATACAATGTTTGGTTGAGGCGGTGAGGTTAGTCAAAAAACTTTTATGATTTCATTTATTCCCCAACCCATTTTAATTATCCTAGATCACTGTCTCTTGGATTTTATCTGGAAAGCGATAAAAAGATACATATAAATGCCACCCTTAGGTGCTTTAGAGTCATTAAAATTTGTGGATGTCACCTTGCTTATTTGTCCTAGTATTTCAAAAACTTCAAATCAATTCAGAACTTTTTGGACACATCTGAGAATATGCAGATCTGCTCTGAATCTGATTCTTTTGCTTTTTAAAAACACCTTTTGTTTTTCGATAAAAGCTTCTCAGAATTTCATACATACTCTCAGATCTGAAATCTTAGTTATAGTTTGATTGCAGAAAGAGAATCATTATGAATGATGAAATAGAAGATGTATTATAGGAATAAAACTTTACATAACTGTGGGAGAATCTGAGACACAAAGATCCAAAAAGTGATGGTTGGAGATCATAGGAAATTCACTAATCATTGTGAAAGAGAACTGGTAAAGTAATTTACAAAAGGCCCCCCTGCCTATGGTGGTGGGCCCTAAGTCACTATAGGTCAGCAGGACAAGTAGTTGGGAAAGAAATTTGGACCTGAAGTAGGATAAGTTAAGGCATGTAAGTCCTTAACTTATCCTACTTCAGGACAAAGTGTTACCTTAGGGGAAACATTAGAACCCATTTGGGCAAAGCGAAACCCCATTTGACTCATGGCATCCAACTCTGACAACATGGGTGACCTGAAGATGAAGCTGGTGCCTTCACATCTTGATGAACACCTGGCCTGAGACTTGGAGACTCTGAAGGAGGAGGTCAGGTGGAAGCTAGTGGTGCTGTCGCACCATTGTTGCTTCTTGCCAGGGGAGTGAGTGAGCAGATCAAGGACAAGGTGCACTGGCTGCAGCAATGCCTGCGGTTCTGCACCAACTTAATGAATACAATGCCTGCTTCTTCACCTTCACCTTCCAAATCTTGTGCAAATTCCCAGCCCTCAGCTGGAACCACTCTAGGAGGGGAACTCTTGGAAACATAGATTCAGCTTGCTAAATTGACAAAATACAAATACCACTACTCAGCTCTTTCAAAATATAGAGACATGAATAATAATTATATATGAATACACATTTATTGAACACTTCTATGTGCTAGGCACTCTTCTAGACAGAGAGAAATCGTAGATAAAGGATAGTTCACTCTCAGTGAGCTTACAGTAAACCTCAATCAGATGCAGACATTTTCATGACCTTCAAGGTTTTCTTGAAAATCCTAGCTAGGTACATGAAAATGTCGTATCTGCCTGAGTGCCTGGCATTCATTCAGTTGGTGTTTGAGTAGTCACTGTTAAGTGTGCCTGTTGAGTGGGTACTTTATACTCTCATGGAGCTTCTGTTCTAGCAATCAACACATATCTATTGGATAAATGAATTATGGGTGAATAAATGCATGAGTTGATATGGATGCAAAATGAAGGAATACTTAATGCAGGCTGAATGGCCTAGGGAAGCTTCCTGGTGTAGCTGAATTTTGAAGGGCTAATAGTTATCAGTGTTCAAGAGGTAGGATTGGGTGAAGATGGAGCAGGTTGGAAAAATATACAGAAGTCTCCCCATCCCCACCCCACAGAAATCTAATAAATTTAGGGAGATAGCATGGGGAGAAATGCCAGATATAGGTGATGGGGAGGAAGGCAGCAAATCACACTGCCATGTGTGTACCTATGCAACAATCTTGCATGTTCTTCACATGTACCCCCAAACCTAAAATGCAGTAAAAGAAAGAAGAAAAAAAAGGAATTACTGATTTGTTGGTAAAGACAAGGGTTAGAGGAAGCTGGTGACGTAATCATGAATGAGATCATGAAGAGATCAATATGCCATTGTTTATCTGGATAACAATGGCAGTCACTGAAAGACTTTAAAAATGTCAACAATACAGTTGGGTATGTACTTAAACTTTTAATATTTTATTATTAAAGTAAAATATACAATCAGTTTATAATGCACTTTTGTCTAAAGTAAACACTCTAACTCCTTTAGCTCTTTCTTAGGTAGTTATTATGACACCTTCAAATGAAATGTTTATAATTTTGAATTTAACTTTATATATTATCCATTTACTTCCTGTAGTTAAAGCTGATGATTTCTAGTTTTAGAGCAATCTTACTGTCTCAAGATAGTTATATAAGTTTTTTTGGTTAAATTAGCAAACAGCCTTGCCTTTCAGTGACTATAGAGAATTAACTAACTTTCCATAGTTGGACACTAGTGAGGAGCAGAGCCAGGACTGCCAGTGTTTCAGGATGGTGTGTGTTTTGTATACCTATCCTTCGAACTTATCCCCATGATTTTTAGTCCAGGTTTCACTCTTACCTTCCACCATACCTGACAATTCCTTTTTTGAGCTCTTAGGGATCCTGAAAAGGCAAATTGATTTCTTTCTTATCCAGAAACAATTGGCTTATGTCTTCTTTCCTGTTATCCATGTCAGCATAGGTTCATTCTTTAAAAAATAAGTCACTTGCTGTCAATTTCCTGCAGTATTGGGAGAGAGGATATGACCATGTATTTTTCAGTTTACATCTTTAAGCGATACTCCAGTCGTATTTCAGGAAGTTCATTCTAAAAACACCATAGAAAGTAGGTTGAAAGGAGATAAGAGTGAAGCCTGTTATAGAAATCTCATAGATAACTGATTAGAGCCTGAACTAAGATTATGCCATGAGGGATAGAACAAAGAAAAAGGGAGAGATCAAAGAGCTGCTAATGAGGTAGAAGCCATAGTCTAGGTCCTGTTGTGATTTTGTGGCATGAGAGAGGGGTCAGATGTAATTCTGGAGTTCCTTTCCTCAGCATTGCAAATGATGATCTTACTCAACAAGGCAGAAATACAGTACAAGAAGTAAAGCAATTTTTAAAACCTTATTTTGGGAGAGATGAGTTAACTTTTGGACATATTGAGTTTGATATTTATATTGGCTGTCCATAGGGACATTTTGGTGGACATTTTGAAGCCAGAGACTATAGTATTAGAATTCTACAGTTTTTGAGTGAAAGAGTTCTGTGGTTGATAAAATTCAGAAAATGGAAAATTAAAATCACTAGATTTTAGGAGATTAAGAAACTATGAATCTAGGACTTCCAGCTATTGGATGGATCATACAAATGGACAGGAAGGTTGTACA